TCTGCGGGAAGCGATAGTTTTGAAGCAAAGGAACACACACACACACAAACACACACACACACACACACACACACACACACATCCTTTTCAGGAAAATTTTAGATTGTCCCTTGTGAAATTTATCTGGTTGGTTTATCCGGTTCATCCTTAGCTGTCCCAGGAACAGACTGTGATATTTTGTGAGTGAGAGATCACATCCATAGTAATTTTCTCTTCCCAAGATACTAGTTCTTATGAAGGACTGCAGGAATTTCATGCAGAAATCTTAGGTTCCAGAGGGGAATTCCAATTATATTGGCTACAAGTTATTTATTGGCCTAACTTTGTGTTTGTGTATATATGCTAGAGGAGAGCGCCCCAATCTTTCTGTCTTTGCAGACTGGCGGGTATGCGTGTGAGAGAGGAGATCGGGTATGCGCGCAAACAGCTCCATTATGCAAGTGGTGGAGTCGTGTGCCCACTGCTCATGGAAATAGTGGGCCTGTGTTTGCCCACTGATCGTACAAGTGTGTGTGTGTGTGCGGGCATATTTGCCCGCCACTTCTGTGCCTGGTAATGCACCATGGCCTGGGAGTTGGAGACTCCTATCTACAGTACATCTGTCAGTCTCTCTGTCTGTCTGTCTTGCATACCCAAATGCATACTGTGTGTCTGTTTATATTTTCATAACTGCTTCATTCTCATAAAATTGGCAGCTGTGTAAATCTCTTTCTTTCTTGGTGCAAAAATTGCTATATTTATTACGCCTCGTACACATGGTTGCTGTAACAGCCCGCTTTATACAAAAATGTAAATACCACTCCACTGCATGCATTCCTTGATAATAAAAAAAAATTTCACTGTATTTTCCATTGTAATTTAAAAAAATGATATTGATAAATGGTTAATTCTTGGCAATAATCTGATTCTTAATCCTTGTTTACAGAAATAAACACATTTTCTTCGTTGCTCCCTGCTATAGTGACACACTAGCTGTCTTGTTTTAGATGATATACATTTTTACACTAGAGCTTCTAACAGTTTAGATTTACACTTGTTTATTTGTTTGTTTGTTTGTTCAATTTATATGCCGCCCTTCTCCCAAAGGACTCAGGGCGGCATACAACATAAAAAACTCCACATATTACAAAAGTTAAAAAGGAAATTAAACAGTTTAGTATCATACCACCATATTAGCGTAAGCTACAGCATGTTATTATACAAACTCCTTAGTTATCTCAGTATTTCATCTTCTCCCTTGGATTTTACCTTTGGGTTGTGTGTATTTTTAAATTTTGACCAAATAAAGATTATTATGAATTCTTGTTAGGTTTGTTTGAAAAGTGTGACGTTGAATCACATTTCCCCCCCTTTTTTCTCCTTTGCAGCCAACTGGGTACATGGAAAGCTCCATTTCCTACAGTTCGATCGAAGATATTCAGTTGCTCTCTTGGGAAAATGCCCCAAAGTATTGTTTACAGCTCACAATTCCCGGAGGAACAGTCTTGCTCCAGGTATAGTAAACACCACTGAAAACTTGTTTTGTTTTCTTACTGTTGAATCTTTCTCTTTTTTTCTCTTTGCTGAAGTCCTTTTTTCCCCTTTCAATACTTTATTATATATTTATTTTGATTGATTAGCCTATAGGCCCCTGATGGCGAACCTATGCCACCCGTGCCACAGGTGCCACGCCGGGGCTTCTTGGTGGGCACGCCGGCTGTCACCCCGCCCAGCTCCGCTGCGCGTGGCTTCCGCCGGCTAGCTGGTCTTCGGGTCTCTGCTGCACATCCACTGGGGGCGGGATGCATGCGGAGAACACACACACTTGTGCAGGAGGGCAGGGCGCATGCACAGGGGGTGTTCACATTGCATTTTGGGGCCTTGCACAGTGCCCACGTGCCCAGTTTTGGCTTCCAGGTTGGCGCAGGAAGCCTTCTAGGCCCAAAACAGGGGCTTGGGGGTTGGTGCAGGAGGCCTTCTGTTTTGGGCCTGGAAAGCCGTCTTCACCAACCCGGAAGCCGAAAATGGGTGAGGGGATGCACACGCACATGTGCAGGGGGGGGGACACTCAGGGGGTCATGCATGCATGCACAGGGGTCACACAGGCATTGGATTATAGGTGCAGGCGCACTGTTGCGCACGCGCACGCTTTCGGCACACAACAACAAAAAGGTTAGCCATCGTTGCTATAGGCCCATGGAGGCGAACCTATGGCACGTGTGCCACAGGTGGCACACGGAGCCATTTGTTAGGGCACGCGAGGCGTTGCCCTGTCAGCTCCAGCATGCATGTGCGCACTGGCCAGCTGATTTCAGTCTTCATTTTTGGCCTTTTTATGCCCTCCGGAGGCTTCAGGGAAGCCTCCTGAAGCCTCCGGAGGATGAAAAATGGCCCTACAGGCAAACCAGAAATTCGGGAATGGACATCTGGGTTGCCTATAGGGCTGTTTTTTACCCTCTGGAGGGCCTCCGGGGGAGACAGGGGAGGCCGTTTTGCCCTCCCCAGGGTGAAAAACGGGTCCATTATGCACAAAAAGCGCGGGGTAGGGCAGTGTCAATGTCAAAAAGATTAGCCATCGTTGCTATAGGCCAGTGTTTCTCAACCTTGGCAACTTGAAGATGTCCGGACTTCAACTCCCAGAATTCCCCAGCCAGCGAATGCTGGC